GTTCACCCTCCAATGGTCACTGCGGCCGGCGCGCTGCGCCGGCGCACTGTGCTGATCCGATGGCAGGAACCAGGTACTTCTCCTGGTCTCCCATGTGGGTGCAGGGCCCAAGGACTTGGGCCATCCTCCACTGCACTCCCTGGCCACAGCAGAGAGCTGGACTGGAAGACGGGCAACCAGGACAGAATCCGGCGCCCCAATCGGGACTAGAACCAGGTGTGCCGGCGCTGTGAGGTGGAGGATTAGCCTAGTGAGCCGTGGCACCGGCTCTGTTGAATTCTTAATTTCCAAGATGTCAATTTGATTTCTCTTTAAGATCTCAATTTTGTTGGAAAATTTTTCTTTCATGTTTTATATGGATTTCATTAGTTCATGCATTTGCTTCTGATTATTTTAAGTAATCCTAGGATCAATTTTTTGAATTCTATTTCTGGCATTTCTTTAGTCTCATCATCTTCACAATCTAGTATTGAAGTGCTGTGTTCTTTTGGGGGCATCATGTTGTTTTCCTTATTCTTGTTTCTTGAATTGGTGCATTTGTTATTTGGCATTTGTGGAGATACTCGGTTTCTTTGTTTTTTCTCTGTGGTGGCTTTTATCTTTGACTGTGTCTGTGTGGATTAGTGGAGTGTCTGCTTTCAGGGAATACCTAGAGGTGTGTGTTGGGTATGGTAAAGGAATTCTGTTCCGTGCTTCAGGGTGAAGGGCATGTCTGAGGGGACACACCAGGTTTGGCGTGGTCCATCTCTCTCTTTTTTTTTTTTTGTTATCAGCTGGGAGGTTTGTTTTTGTCTGTTGGCATATACTCAGCTGAGCTCCTCTCCTTAAAGGAGACCAGTGCCTGAGCGTTAACCCCAGTGGATATAATATTTGTCCACTCTGTCCCAAGGACCACACAAAGGGTCTGTGCAGTCCTCAGTGTAAGCTCAGATTCCCCAGCATTGTCCCTAACAGGTAACCATGGAGCCCTGATTGTGTGGAACCTCCCACAGTGCTTCCCAAAGTCCCAGCCACACCCTGCGTTCTCCCATGCAGCCTCAGTGTTTCACCACCCCAGCACACAATCCTCCCACAGTCAGGAACCTCAACCCCCTGTCTGTTTTCCCTACCAGACTCAGGAATCTCCTCTTGGCTGGTTGCTGGGTGCAGACACAAGCTGGCACTGTTGTTAGGTTTGCCCAAAATGACTCCTGCTCTCTTTCAGCTTGTTACAGGATGCCATTGCAGGGTTATTGGAGAGAGAGAGACAATGTGCCTCCCCTCCGTTTTCTTCTCCTCTGATTTGGCGGGTACACTCTTCCACAAGGGGCTCGCAGCTGGGTTCCCTCTAGGCTCTTCCTACCAAATTTTCCCCAGTGGCTTGGGCTGCTGCAGCCTGGGTCTCACCTCACTCCAGCACTGATGCGGAGGCTCTCGGCTGCTGGGGTCCTGAGATGGGCTTGTCCTTGCCTTTCACCTAGGTCCACTGTGTCCTTCTAATTTGCATAGCATTCCTCTGCAGTTTTCTCCCTAACTTTCCTGAGACTACGTTCTTTCCACTTTTTAAAAACTATCTACTCCTAGATTAGAGCAGCAAGCTCCATCCCTACTCTGCCATCTTAATACAGTAGCTTATTTTCAGGGAGTTTCTTTTTGTAACCTGTAGTCCCTACTGCTGTCTCCATTTTGGAGGCTCTCAGATTGGGTCGAGTAACAACAAAATGCAACGTTGGTTTGGGAGAGTTGTCTTGGAAACCTTAAATGGAAGCTGGTGCTTTGAGCAAATTGTGAGGACTCCAGGATATACTACTAACCACAGCGCTTCATTCACTCAGAAAGCCCACACTGAGTACTTCTGTGTACCTGGTTGTATGTTAATGCCCCATGTGGGTGCTTGAGATTCCAAGAAGATAGACATCTCTCAAAGAAGTTACAAATTAGTGTGGGAAAACAATAAAGAAAATAACAGTTACCATAATGAGTGAGTGTAAAAGAGTGGGGATTGCTGTGGGAGTGTGGAGGAGGAACTCAGCCTACACTGTGAGCTCAGGAAGGGTTTCCCACAAGAGCCATGATACTGAATCTTAAAGGAATTGACCAGGTGATGAATTATGATGAGAACGTTCCAGTTTTCTCATTCACTTACTCAGTAGACATGTTTTGAATGCCTACTATGCTTGGAGCCTCTGCTGGGTGGTAGGAATATGGAATCTGGCAAGCGCTGTCTGCAGTGTGTTTTTTCTCTCTTGTAGAAGTAGCAGACGAGAAGGCAAACACATGTTATAAGTTACTGTGGTTATTATGAACAGGCCGGGGTAGGATGGGGCTATCCACTGATTGTAGCTAGAGAGGACACTCTGCACAGAATTCATTGATGAAGGGAGTCCTACTCGAAGTAGTCCTGACTTCAAGATATCCTTGCATGTGGTAAGTGAGGAGGAGTTTCCTGGCAGAACATGCAGTGAGATAGGGACAGAGTCAGGAAACAGCAAGGTTTAATTGGGAAAACCCAAGGATGGTGGCAGTGAATTATAGTCGAGGATTATTGCATCCTAAACTGCAGTTGCAGCAGTGAGTGAAACCAGGTCATGAAAAACCCTGCATGATATGTAAAGGTGCTTGGGATCTACTTTCAGACAGAGGATCCATTTAAACACAAAAAAGGGAATAATGCAGTCTTACCTATTCACGTGGAAAATTCAGTCTTTGATTTCTATCTTCTGTCATGTGAGATCCATGAATCCATTAAGGGTTGTAAGTAAATGAGTCAAATGGTCTTATTTACCATTTATTTAACAAGGATCCTCATCTGAGTTACAATACAGTAGATCAGTTGGATTGACACTAGCAGCAAGGGGGCTGATTAGACATCTATCATGGTAAGCTGGGGAGACATTATTTAGCAGGGAGGATATGAAAAGGCAGAGTGAAGTGATAGTTGAGGAGAGTGGATGGGAGTTTGACGGTGAGAATTGCATAACAAGGAGAGGTCTAAAACATCCCCCTGGTTTCTGGCTAAGATGGTTAGATGGCCATTCCACTTTCTGAGGGGGAATTTGGAGCAAGGACAGAATTAAGGGGAAATAGGATAAGTGTGCCTTCTGTTTCAGCATTATTCAAGAATAGTTTATGGAAAAATGGAATTAAAAAACAAATTTTGGGCAGACATTTGGCCTAGTGATTAAGATGCCTGTTAAAATATCTACATTCTTGGGCCAGCGCCATGACTCACTTGGTTAATCCTCTGCCTGTGGTGCCGGCATCCCATATGGGCGCTGGTTTCTAGTCCCGGTTGCTCCTCTTCCAGTCCAGCTCTCTGCTGTGGCCTGGGAGGGCAGTGGAGGATGGCCCAGGTCCTTCGGCCCCTGCACCCACATGGGAGACCAGGAGGAAGCACCTGGGTCCTGGCTTCAGATAAGTGCAGTGTGCCGGCCGTAGTAGCTATTTGTGGGGTGCACCAACAGAAGGAAGACCTTTCTCTCTCTCTCACTGTCTAACTCTATCTGTCAAAAAAAAAAATTAAAAAAAAAATAACTACATTCTGGGGCCAACACTGTGACATAGTGGATAAAGCCATCGCCTGCAGTGCCAGCGACCCATATGGGCACTGGTTCAAGTCCTGGTTGCTCCACTTCTGATCCAGCTCCCTGCTGTGGCCTGGGAGATCATGTCCTTGGGCTCCTGCGCCTGCATGGGAAACCCAGAAGAGGCTTCTGGCCCCCTGGCTTTGGATCGGCTCAGCTCTGCTCCAGCCATTGCAGCCATCTGGGGAGTGAACCCTCTCTCACTGTCCACTCTGCCTGTCAAAAAAAAAAAAAAAAGCAGTGACGAGGGGTTGGAAATGCAAATTTTCATTCCTCTTTCCCTCTTACTAGCCCTTTGATTTTTGGATAGTAGTTAACTTCTCTTAACCTTGGATTTGTCAGTTCAATTGGTTGTAACACTATCTGACCTGCATACCTTACAGAGTTATTATGAGGTTCCAATTAAATGAAATGAGATAATATATATGAAAGTGCTAAAGTATAAAGTATCTGATGGGCATTTGGTACAGTGGTTCAATACTAGTTGAGACACCTGCATCCCGCATCGGAGTTCCTCATTCAGGTCCTGGTTGTGCTTCCAGTCCTGCTTCCTGCTAATGTGCACTCCGGGAGGCAACGCTTGATGGGTCAAGTAGTTGGGTCCCTGTGACCCACATGGGAAACCCTGACTGAGTTCCTGGCCCTGCTCTGCCTGTTATGGGTATTTGGGGAATTGAAGCAGCAAGTGGAAGATCTGTCTCACTGTCTTCCAAATTCTAAAGAAATAGAGTATGATGTATAATACATGTAAGCAGTGATATTATTAGATACGTAGATATCTCTGCTCCACTATTTTATTTTTATTGATTTGCCTGAGATGCCATTTAGAGGAATGTAAAAGGAGCTTGATCATTTAAAGACAAATATCTACAGGACAGAGTTCATCAATACCATCAGTTCCTACCAAGGAAATCACCCTGTCCTTTTTTTAAAAAAAATTCATTTTTTATTTGAGAGAGAAAGAGCTCCCATTCATGAGTTCACTCCCCAGAGGCTACTCTGATATGGTTGCGAGTGTCCCAAGTGGTGGCATAACCACTGGTCCAAACACCAGCCACTGCCCTTTGTTTTAAGGTTATGTTTTAGATAAAAGTTCTGTTAAGTCCTAGTGATTGAAAAGGTAAGTAGGATATTAACAGTGATGTGTGGGAAGGGGCATGAGGATAGACTCATGGGCAACTTGTTGACTGTGGAACCCTGACTGAGAATATTCTGTGGATTTGTTTGAACATAGGTACTTTTTGCAATCTCTATGAGCTTTGGTTTCAATTGCAGTAAAGGATTGGTACCAGGTGTTTTACCAGGTTTGGGGTTGAAGTACGTTGCCATTTCTAATTCAGCAGATGAGAAATATTTGTAGTTTTAGTCAATTAATTGTTTTTTTTCTAGAATAACATTAACAATTTATTTTAACCTTTTGTCTACACTTGATAACAGGTAATATTTGTGAAGGTTCCTGTGCTAGTCATGGTCCGATGAGTTTGGGAGAATTGGAGTTGCAGCCAGACTCTAACGTTGTAGTTCCCACAACACTTCTGACTGTTAAAGAAAATGTTGGTAATTTACCAAAAACAGCTGAAGATTTTTCTCAGGTACTAAATAAATAGCACTTGTATTTTACAATGAAAATTCCAACAGTCTTGCCTTTGCATGGCACATTGTCAGGAACACTCTGTGGAACCAGATACCTCAAACCAAACTTCTTTTCTTTATTAACTCAAACCTGGACGTCAATCGTAGCTTGGCCAGGTTCTGAGTGTGCCCTGGGACACATCACTTAGCCTCTTCTAAGCCTTAATTTCCTTATGTTTAAATTAAAGATAAAAATAATGACTATTAAAGATTTGGCACATAGTTAGGTATCATTTAAATCTCTGTATGTCTATACTGTACATAGTACATACATCATAGATACTCAGTAATTAAATGTTTATTATGGTAAAATTTTTCCCACAAAAATACAAGAAATTTCATGTTGAATGATGCCAGTGGCCTATGCAATCTTGTATGCTGAAGAAATAGTATAGTTGCTCTCTGTGACATTAATCTAAAAATACTTTGCATTTATGTACTGGCAGTTCATTTGTCTTTATATATTAATTTATTCAGTGTATTCATTGCATAATATTGTGCAGCACTTAATGGTGTTAAAGAGGAAAACAACAATATATGAGATAAAATTATTTATGAAACACGCCATTATTTAGGGTTCAGTATTACCAACCTATGTTCAAACACTAGGAAAGTCAGTTAATAATGAATAAATATTTGTTAATAGCTTCATATAAAATAATTTTTTTAATTTGGCAGACCCTGAGGTAGGCAAAAGTTTCATGGATATGATAACCTAAAGCACTATCCATGAAAGAAAAAATTTAAAGACTGGTCTCATAAAATTAAGAACCTCTGTTCCTCAGACCTCACTGTTTAGGGCAGGTATGTGATGTATCCCGTAACAGAGCTCCTGGGTTTCAGTCCCAGCTCTGCTCCTGATTCCTGATTCCTGCTAATGTGCATCCTGGCGGGCAGCAAGTAATGACTCCGCTAAGTGGGTCCTTGCCACACAGATGGGAGACCCAGACTAAGTTTCCAGCTCCTTGCTTCCGTCTGACCCAGCTCTGATTGTAAACCAGCAGATGGGAGTTCTGTTAGTCTGTCTCTTTGTCTCTTTCTTTCTCAGACTTTCAAAATAGATAGAATAAATAAATAATTTAAAAAACAAAACAAAGACTCATACTGATAAGAGACCAAAAAGACAAACCGCAGGCTGGGAGAAAATATTTAGAAATCACATATTTGATCAAAGATTTGTATCCAGAATATATAAGGAACTCAATAGAACCAATATTAAGAAACCAAACAACCCAAATAAAAAGGTGAACAAAACATTTAGACAGATATTTCACCAAAAGAACATACATGAACAACAAATAAACACAGAAAAAGATTTTCAACATTACTAGTCACAAAAAAATACAAATAAAAATCACAATGAGATAGTCGTACACATCCAGTAGGGTACCACTAGGATATCAGGATTTAAAAGACTGTCATGCCAAGGGTGTAGAGCAACTGAACTCTTACATGTTGCTTGGAAGCGTAAAATGATGTAAGCACTTTGGGGAAACACTAACAACTTGGGAATTTCTTGAAAAGTAAAATCTATCTTCCATCAAACCTGTGTCATTTTATACCTAGTTTCTCAAGAGACTAAAACATATGTTTGCAGTATGATGTAAGCATGAATATTCAAAGCAAATTTACATTTATAGTAGTCCCAAACTGGAAACACACAACATCCATCAACTGGTAAATTGACAAACTGTGGCATGACATATATAATGTTCAGAAGTAAAATGTGAATTATTGATACATATAATTACATAGATGGTTCTTATAAAATGTTGAGGAAAAGAAGTCGGACCAAAAAAAAAAAAGCGTATGCTATGATTCAGTTATTTAAAATTCTGGAAGATGCAAACTATTCTAGTAACAAAAAGTTTCAGTTCTTGCTTAGTGATGGTGAAGAGGAGTAAATACAAAAGGATAGGCAAACTTGAGATTGATGTATATGTTCACTGTAGTATGCTGATTGTGATAATGGTTTCAAGAGCATATAATTATGTCAAAACTTAGCAAGTTGTATACTGAAAAATGTGAAGTTTATTAACTATCACTAAGACCTCAAGAAGGCTTGCTAAAAAACAGTTTCCTTTAACTGTTGACCTGTTTTAAAATAAAACTATAAAGTGTTACCAGAAAAATGGGCCTCAAAAAATTCCGTTGTTAGATTTCTGTAGCTAATATTTTTATTTTTTGTAAAAAATTATTTATTTATTTATAAAGCATAGTTACACAGAGAGGAAGAGACAAAGAGAGCAAGGGAGAGAGAAATCCTGCATCTGCTGGTTCACTCCCCAGATGGCCTCAACGGCTGGAGCTGTGTCAGGCCAAAGCTAGGAGCCAGGAGTTTCTTCCGGGTCTCCCACGTGGGTGCAGGGGCCCAAGTACTAAGGCCTTCATCTGCAGAGAGCTGGATTAGAAGTGGAGCAGCCAGGACTCAAACCAGTGCCCATATAGAACGCCTATGTTGCAGGTGGTGGCTTTACTCACTATGCCGTGGTGCCAGCCCCAGTGTAGCTAAGATTTCTATGTGAATTTATTTTCTTTGGTTGGTTAAAATAATAGCACACACTTGTTTAACATACTTACTCTGCTAGATGCTGTTCTATGTACTTTACATATTTAAACTCATTTAATATTTCCTTTCAGGTAGAAACCTACAGAACCAGTGGCTCTAATCCTAAAAGACTAGAGTTAAAGCTAGTTGTTTATCCTTTTTACTTCTCAGGAAAGACAGTGGCATATTTATGTACTTGAAAACAAGTGTTTGAGATTCTTCTGTGGTTGTGTTTATTGATAAGGTCCAGAGTCCCTGTTAAAGTATATCTGATAGCTATTTCTAAGGACTCGTTCATAACAGGAAAGGGAAGAATGAAAATGGCTGAAATCATTACAATTTCTGATATGTGATTATGAACTAGTTTTGTGACTACTATGAATTTCAAATTTGGCTAGGTTATAGATAAGAAAGAGATTATGGTTTCTTGAATGGCAAATGGAGGATAACAATACCTACTCACATTTGTGAGAATTAAAGGATGTTACTATATATAAAAGCTCTTAAAAACTGCAGTGCATTATGCAAATTTTTATTTTATGCAAAAATGGTTATATGGAAGAGCTTACAGCTGAGTTAAGTTCTTACCTGTTAAATCCATCATGTATATGTAAATCTAGGATATTTTGTCTTATAAGTGCCTCTGAATTCTCTAATAAAAGTTGGAAAAAATGACTTGAATATTCAAAATCCGTATATATTGTCCAAACCTCTATAATTTTTTAATAGTATCTTTCCTTTTGTAATATGTGTATCATCACCGATTTGCTAGAAGTGCTGGTAAATAACAACAGAAAAGGCAATTAGAAAGCAAGCATATTATTAAAATTTTGTTTGATAAGCATACCAGCAATTTGACTACTAAGATTTTTTGAGTATCTTAAACATAATATTATGACTTTGTATCTTGAATTTTGTAGTGCCAACAGAAGCAAGACCAGGATGCTAAGCAAGCTGAACACAAGCCAGCACAAAGTCATTTACTATGTGTAAGAGCTGCACTTCCACAGCAACAGGGTAAGACTTGTTTTCAGAAAAAAATATAGTGGTTTGATCCTCAGCTTGTTATTGAGCAAGCATATTATGAGGATTCTTTATTTTTATGTATATCTTACTTTTGTCTCTAGGTTGTTTTTTTTTTTTTTTTTTCTCAGACTCCATTCGGGTGAAGAATTTGGTAGTTGGCTATAAATTTGTTCTTTTCACCAATAAAACATTTCTAATGAATTTTAAAAATTCTTAGGTATTGTTTTCCTTTAGTCCTACCTTTTGGTTCTTATACAATTGAATGTCAGGATTTTTTTACTTATACATAGATTGAAATCTATTTCATAGTTGTCTGTTTTAAATTATAATATGCTAAACACAGGATAAAAACATGGCTGTTAATGTGCTTTGTAAAGGCTATTTAGTGTTGTGTGATTATGTTAACGGTAAGTATAACTTAAAAAATAAGCGATTCTCATGTTACATGTTATTATATGAATGAACTTTCTGTTGTTTATAAAAATTGTGTGGTTGAACTTTAATTCCACAACCAGAGTTAAAGCATTCTGATGTCTCTGTGTTTCTATAAGGCTGTTCGTTGGTTTTGTGCTTTGTTTGCTTTCTTGCTTCTTAGTCATCATGTTTTGTATAACCTATGTTCTGAAATTTGGTGATGGAAAGTAAGATCTCTTCTGTTTAAAAGTTTTCTATCCATAATCTGGGAAGAAGTAGTAGGAGTATTTTGAGCAATGGAATGTTTTTCTTTGCTTTTATCACTGTGATTTTTATTTAATGTTCGAATAATATTTGAGTAAATGCCTATTATTGAATGCCAGTGTAACTGGAAATATAACTATGCATTTGATATTTTGGGAAGGACCTCAAAGAGGAAATGCTCAATAGAGTTATTAGGATTATTCCATATGAGTTGAGGTTTAGGTTTTAACTTGCATTTGTTTTCTGTTGCCTCTCTTGCTCCAAATTCTCAGAACATTGCCTTCCTGACCATTTTTTAAGAAACCTAATCATAGTAGTGTTAATATTATGGTTTAGAATCCTAAAAAAAAAAAAAAAAAAAAAAACTAGCCTGTAACTCTTATGATCTTATTAATCATGGCAGGATAGAGATATGAGCAAAAAAATTCTAAAATAATACTAGGACTTGTCCTTCTACCAAGTGCTGCTAGCACTCTTGATCAATGATAGTTCATTTAATTTAATTTTTTAAAATAGTGATTTCTTAAAATTATATATGAATGCAATTTTCTTGGAGTATATTGTAACTAATAAAACAGTTTTTCTTAACTGGTAGGAAGATGTCTTTTGTAAGATATTAAAAGACTAAAAATCTCTCTTTTAGGAAAATGAGATTGTTTTCAGTTTAAGATATATGACTGACCACAGGGTGGCAATAAGTACATTTTTGTTAACTTATAGCAGTGTCATTAAATAATATCCAACTGATGTTTAGTAAGTCAATAAAAATCATAAGAAGATTAAAAGAAACCAGGATGTTAGCTAGTAGGAGGAAGTTTTATTTAGAAAGAGTTTATTACAGTTAGACTTAATATGTTCAAAATTCTTGGCATTTAATTTTACATCAAATACAAAAGTTAGGAAAGCAGACCTATGTCAGTCTGAAGACAAATAAATACCCAGTAAGATATAAATAGAGCACCTTAAATAGAAGCTAACCCTTTTACTCTATAATTGATACACATCACCATCCTGAATATTTCTTGTATGTTTATCTTGGCAAATTCTAGCATAGTCAGTTATGCGTTTTTCCCCATGAATTGTGTGGAATTTATTTTTCATCTCTGATGACACTCTGAGGCATTGCTGAAAGTTTCATTAAATAGCAGAGTCAGAGTGCCAGAATAATCCTCTGGGACTCTTGGGGACTTGGAGTGACCTTGAAAGAATTCAGTCCTGTTTTTCATACACAGAGGGCTTGAAGATAAGGAAATTCACCTTATCACAAGGGATCAGAAGTATGTCACTGCTGGCAGATAAATGCTTCTAAGAATACTTAAACCCCAAATTATGCCTATTTCAGAGAGGAGGTGTCATGTATTTTACTTTGAAATGCATAGTAGCTTAATATGTGTATATAAAGAAAGCAAGCAGTTTGCTAGCAATAGCAGCTCTGTCAGTGATCACCTGTTAAAAATGAACTGAAGGTGTGAGTGTAGCAAGAAGCAGGTTCATTCTAGTGCTCTGCCACCAGGAAATATGTAGAACCCTTGTTCTGTTTTCGCCTTTGATTTTTACCTTCATGTTTTAATATAAAAGAGGAAATTGAATTGAATATTCTAACAGATGATACCTTTGGAATATAAGAACAAAATCTTTTCATTTATTATTGAACTTATTGAGTATATTCTTGACTATATAATACTACACTTACCTAATTGTACATACTAATGTATCTAACAGTTGGATAGTGAAAACACCTTGAAAAAGTTATATTAGGGGCTGGTGCTCTGGTGTAGCCAGTAGAGCCTCCGCCTGCAGTGCCGGCATCCCATATGGGCACCGGTTCAAGTCCAAGCTGTTCTACTTCCAATCCAGCTCTGTGCTATGGCCTGGGAAAGCAGCAGAGTATGCCCCAAGTCCTTGGGCCCCCACACCCCATGTGGGAGACCCGGAAGAAGCTGCTGGCTCCTGACTTCAGATTGGCCCAGCTCCAGCCCTTGCAGCCATTTGGGGAATGAACCAGTGGATGGAAGACCTCTCTGCCTCTGCCTCTCTGTAACTCTGCCTTTCAAGTAAAAAAATAAATTTTTTTTTTTTTTTTTTGACAGGCAGAGTGGACAGTGAGAGAGAGAGGCAGAGAGAAAGGTCTTCCTTTTGCCATTGGTTTACCCTCCAATGGCTGGCGCATTGCGCTGATCCGAAGCCAGGAGCCAGGTGCTTCTCCTGGTCTCCCATGGGGTGCAGGGCCCAAGGACTTGGGCCATCCTCCACTGCACTCCCTGGCCACAGCAGAGAGCTGGCCTGGAAGAGGGGTAACCGGGACGGAATCCGGCGCCCCGACCGGGACTAGAACCCAGTGTGCTGGTGCCGCAAGGCGGAGGATTAGCCTATTGAGCCATGGTGCCGGCAATAAATAAATCTTTAAAAGTTATAGTAGTCATTTTTATTTTTCCCTTTTTACTGTACAAGTTAACTTGAAAGACTAGTTTTAAATCCATTTATTTGTGATGAACGTAGGAACTGTTAAATTCTTTAAAGTGATATGTTAGAATAGTTCTCTTTTAAAAATATTTTCCTTATTATTTCTCTTACAATTCTAAGACCATCCTAATAGGTAATAATCAGAAATTTAATCAATGGGGAAAATGATTTTTAGTTAAATGATAGGACAGGGTAGGCATTTGGCCAAATAGTAACGGTGGCTACATCCCCCATTAGAGTACCTGGATTCAGTTCCAGGCTCTGTTGGCACTTGGGAGTGAACCAGTAGATGGGAGTTCTCTGTTTGCTTCTCTGTCACTCTTTGTCTCTCTGCCTTTCAAATAAAACGTATATGTAGAGAGGGTGGGGTCAAGGGATGGATAATTCCAACAAAGAAAATCACTGGCTCAGATATTTACACTGGAGAATTCTGTCAGTTGAGGATGCAACATACAAACATACAAGCGGAGGTTACTCTGATTCCAAAACCAGACAAAGACAATACCAGAAAAGATTATAGATCGATAGCCATTACGAACAAAGATAAAAATTCCTCTATAAAATGTTAGCAAACTGAATCCAGTAATTTATTAGAAAGACAGTAAATCAGGACCAAGTGGAAGACTGTTTCCAAGAATGCAGGGTTGGTTCAGCAATTAAAAAATCAATGTTGGTAACTGTACTAACAGAATAAGAAGAAAAAGCCCAGGAGACCATCTCGATAGATGCAGAAAAGTCTTTGACAATATTCAACATGCATTCATGATAAAAATTCTCACAAAACCAAGAGTAAAAGGAATCTTTTCAACACAATAAAAAGTATTACACTTAAATAGTGAAAGACTAAATGTTTTCTCAATAAAATTAGAAATAAGGTAATGTTGTTTGCTCCTGCTACTCCTCCTATTCAAAATCATACTGGCACCTGCACTATGGCATTGTTACAGGACTCCACTGAGTGATCGAAGAGAGAGTAATATGTTCCTTTTTTTTTTTTCCTTCTCTGATTTGCCAGGTGCACTATCCCAAATGGGGCTCCAAGCTGGGTTCTCTCTAAACTCTTCCTGCAGCTTTAGTGCCATTGGCTTGGGCTGCTGCAGTCTGGTCTCACCTCACTTTCCAGTGCTGGTGCGTAGGCTCTCAGCTGCTGGAGTCCTGAGTTGTGGGCGTCCCTGCCCTCCACATAGGTCCACAGTGTCCCTCTAATTTGCGTGGAGTTTTCTCTGCTGTTTTCTCCCTATCTGTTCCCTAAGACTGCACGCTCTCCACTTTTTTTAAACCTATCTTCTGCTGGACTAGAGCAGTAAGCTCCCTCCCTGCTCCACCCTCTTGGAACTGCATCCATATTCACTTTCACCAACCTTCTCCTACCACCTCCTTTCTGTTCTGAATGTAACCATGCTTTTAACAGTCATATGCATTTACTGAAGACTTACTAGGCACTCTATAGTATTATTTCAGGTATTCCTCACAATACCATGTCATCCAGGTAGTTTCATGTAAATTTTACAAAAGAGGTTAACTAATTTGCCCAAAGCACAATTTTTTTTTATTTGACAGGCAGAGTTAGACAGTGAGAGAGAGAGAGACAGAGAGAAAGGTCTTCCGTCTGTTGGTTCACTCCCCAAATGGCCACCACGGCCGGAGCCAAGAGCCAGGTAATTCCTCCTGGTCTCCCATGTGAGTGCAGGACCCAAGGACTTGGGCCATCCTCCACTGCCTTCCCGGGCCACAGCAGAGAACTGGACTGGAAGAGGAGCATCCAGGACTAGCACCCGGCACCCATATGGGATGCCGGCACCACAGGCGGAAGATTAACCAAGTGAGCCATGGCGCTGGCCCTGAAAGCA